TCACTCTCTGAATGTCTGCTGGAAACGGTTATTATCCTATTAGATTGTTACGGATGGAAATTTGATCCTGTCTTATTGATGATGATCCACAGTGCTTTATTGTATATCAGAGAAGCGTTTGAATGCAAAGTATTGAACACACCCCTCTTAACAAAGGTTGTGAAGATAAGTTTATCCGATTCACATCTATCCTTACTCCGAAATTACTTAGAGAACTCGACGTCCTGAACCCAGGTACTATTTAAGGTTTACTCTTGTTTTAGGTTGTTATCAATGACACCCTAGACTCTCATATACCTCAAACATGCCTAGAAATGAAGGTTCATAAGAAACGTAATGGACCTAACAAAAATAGATGAATAAACGGTGGGCAATAGGCTAAAACGTAAGCTGCCAAAATGACGTATGATGCACAATAAACTTTATGGGTTACAATCAACTTAATTTCTCCACAGGAACTCGCTACTAATTGTCTTCTCATAGTTCTGTCTAAGACTGGTAGCCACAGACTACTTGGACACCAGCTCACATTGTGGATAGACCCAAAAAATGTGTAGTTCACTATCTACGAGTACAACTCGATCTAATCACCCTTAAATTAATTTTTAAATCCTAGAACGCACTCATGACTTCACTCAGAAGTTCACAACATTGTCCTACTGTTGACTTTAAGCTCGGCTAATTATCACGTGATTTATTTGCCAATCGAAATATTATTTATTTAATCTTAGTACTATAACAAATCAATGACGTTCGACCGGTATGAACAACCTAACGTCCTTATTAGTCCTTCTTCCTCCTAGCCCTGTTAGTTGAATCCAGAACAGCTTTCACTATGCGAATCATTTATTTCAAAATACTTGGTTTATATACCAGCCAAACAAAACGCATCAGACCATAAAATAGGAAATAACATCTATACAAGATCAGGCTAAAAAGTGTCTGTGAACGTAAGTTTGTCTGCTCTCATTGTCTATATGATTATTTAATTGACTTTCTTATTTATTTACTTCTTGAAACAGTTGTCTTCTCCCAGCATTCAAAATTTCTATTTATTATTTTCCACATTGGAACCAATCAACCTCGTATATAGTAATGTGACAGCTATTGATTCCAGAAACCTTACTGCCTTGAGACAAACTCACTCATTCAAACTACAAGATACGCAAACCAACAAACAACTGTCAGACTAATTTGAACTAATGAAGTCAATTGGCTAAACTACCATTCACTAAGCATCACTGAAGATCTGAAACCTCACCAAACTAATGGGAAGTTAGCACAGGGAAGTCAATCAGTTTGTAATGAAATTAGCATGCATTTAATTATATTAGAAATACATGATACTGGGACAGCCGTTTGTTTTTATGATAATTCCTTTAATAGTCAAGAAATCGGCTTACTGAATAATACTCAAATACCTAGTAAATAAGTAGTTAACAGTCACTTCTAGGATTGTTAAGGTGGTAATGTAAGACAAGAAAAACTAATACAGGCTATTAAGAGATATGAACAATTTATCTCAGTAGAATAAATTTCCAAACGGCTTGTGGTATTGTTTTATGAACAAGTCGACTAAGTTGGATGTCGTATTAGCTATCAATCGTCTGCTCAAGAGAAATCCATCTATTCTAAAATCATTAGTCAGAATCCGAGAAAAGCTAGCTGAGTCCCGTTTTATATTTTTGATATTCGAATTCAAAAAATACATAAATTTTAGGTCCTAATAAGTAAATAAGTGGGATCTGCATGATATCAAACTGATTAATTAACCACTTAGTTTTACAAAATAAATAACCAATGACGTCACTATCAAAGGTAGAAAAATAACTAAAATGATTTTCACCGAGATGTTTATTACTAAATAAACAAAAATATTATTTCACTGGTTGGAATCACGAGTCAATTGAAGCTAGACCACCATGGAAAACGTGGGAGCACTGGACGGCCGTTTCGTCCTAGTATGGGACTCCTCAGCAATGCGCATCCACGATCCCGCACCCCGTGGGTGCTCTAGCTTCAATTGACTCATGATTCCAACCAGTGAAATTTCTAAAATCTCCACAAAACCCATTCTGAAAATATTATTATGCGCTTTGGTATTTTTTGGGATTTGGATCTTGTCACAACATAATCAACGTCCTAACGAATATCAGGTGTCAATTTTATAAGAAATCTACAATTAAACATCCACATGAATTTTCCACAGGATCCTAATCGAGTTGGGAACAATTACTAAAGACCATATACGTGCTGACAACACTAATTATCTTGATAAATTTCGTTACGTCTTTATCTGTCTACCCACTTTGTGCAAAGGATAACTTGTTTAATCTAAATTAAGACCTTGACGTGATAGGCTGACTGGCTCAACCTTGAGGCTAGTATGTGTGAGTTTCAAGTGAGACTAACTGCTTGGGGTAGAGAGACGAAAACTATTCTATCACCTGACTAGCTAATAGGCGCGCGAGTGAGAGAAGACACATCAACTGGAGCATTACATGATTTATTTTCAAACTTAAAATAAACCAAGTAACTTGATTCACAATCCATTAGAAATGGAGAAATGAAATTCTCATATGTCTGTAATCTATCAAGTTCGGTTGGCAAACAATAATCTAAAACAAATTATGGTTGGTTTTCTAAATAATCATTCTACATGAGTATACTGATCACTGGGGTGTACCAATGCCAATTTGTTTAGTCCTCAGTGTTAGTTGAGTCCTACTGACCAAGCTGCAATTCGGTTATTAGTTGAAGTGACTCGACCTTATGTATTGATGTAAGGTTTGCGCTAAAAACTAAACAAACATGACAGTGACTACTAATCGGAAAATAGTTAGTGTAAATAACTCAGTCCTGCAGGATATCTACCACTAATCAAATAAATGTAGAAGAGTATGCTTTTTAATACAATATATTCTTCGGAACAACACTAATAGCATAAAATAAAGCTTTGCAAGCGACAGTGGGTTGCAAAACATAAACGGGATTTCAAAAATAAAAAAATTTCCATAACATTTAGAAGGAACTATAACTTTTAGTAAAGTGTATAAAGTGTGATGTAGCTAAATCAACAACTTATTACTTAATCACTTCAGGATCATTTGGCCAGTGCCCAAAGCTAGTCGGTTGGTGACAAGGTAGTGAAATGTTGAAAAGTATCATTATAAAACAAAATGTACACTGCCTGTATAAAGATTGTATTTATCATCTTTAAAGATTAACTTTGGCTAAAAGATGTGTCAAAATCACTTGAATATGATCACAATTCGCTAGACAATGGTTACTAATGTAATATTGATAGTAACAGTTTCGCTATTAAACTGTATGAGAATAAACGTTAATTGTCTAGAAAGGCATAAACCGAATTGCCACAGTTACTATGATTATTTATTATTGTTGTTTTCGTAATATGACAATTTCACAAAAGTAACTGTTTATCTTTGATGACTACTGAAAACAATTAATAGTAACATTTTCGTGTATATTTAGTCATATAGGTCCAGTTTGTGCTAGCAGATGCTCATTATAAACTAAAACTAAATAATCATACACTAAAAGCAAAGAGAGATAGTGGCTAGCAGTGTAATCCAGGACTCCCGTTTCGTCCCACTTGGGACTCGTCAGCTGGATGTACCTACACCTCTGAGTTGATGTTAACTCTGGGACTGATACCCAATACCGTTTGCTTCAAACCCCATCGCGTTGTTTACTTAATTTCTGAGTCCTGATAGCCACTAGCTTGTGTAATCGTGTAAAGTTTAAATTCACTTGGTATTATTTTACGTGAATCCTCTCATTGATGTTTAGAACTGCAATCAACCAGTCTCTTATTGACATATGTGCATCATGTGCATATTACCTTGATATTGCCTTCATTCACAAGCATTATAGGCATTATATACACTACTCTCTGATATCAATTAAATTTTCCAGATAATATCAGTTTATGGTTAAAATTATTTCACCATTAATAAAAATTAAACAAATCCCTTCCCCCCCAGATAGACAGATATCCGAGGAGTCCCATAATAGGACGAAACAACCGTTCACTACTTTCAAATTTTCAACGGTGATCTATCTATATATTGATAAATCTTGTTAATTTAAACGCTTTATTCAGTTCCTAAGCTATTCTCGTAGCCCGCAAGCTAGAAGTACTCAGCGACCTGGACTCGAGAGAAAGGTGCAAAGTAAGCGAAAAAACACTTTACTCCAAAGATCCATTTTTGTACAGAAAAACACGGATATTTATAGATGTTCATATCTGTCAAATCAACATCATATTTTGGCCAATCCGCTAAAAGATATATTATGCTATTGACCAGTAGTAGCATGCTATATTGATATTCTAGAAACCTCCATCATTTTCTGATTGGTTAGAACTCTTCGGCTCCTTTAGGGCCTTTGGAGGCTCCATTGCAGTTTTCGGAAAGCTGACTCAACGTATATCAGATAAACTTATTGCATAATTCAAATTAAAAAAAGAAACCAAAACAAAAGACACCATGATAACTATGTGTATATGTGTGCCGATAATTTATTTAATATTTAAAAAAAAAGAAAGAAAAGTTCTTAGTTAATACTGTGCATGACAAATAAATCATGGTGTTTAATACAAAAGAAAACAACGAAATATATGCATATGATTCTCATTGAAAGTGATCAATTATGAATAATGACGATTAGTGATTTACCGTATACACAAGTCAAATACATTAATAATAAACTAGAGTAATCATAACAATGAAGATATGTGTATATATTAAATAGAGCAAACAAATTAAAACAAAAAAAACAATTTATCAAATGACCTACAAATATTGATAATTGAATAGTATGAATTATATTTTCGAGGTAGAAATAAATTTAATGAATTCATTCTATTAGAATATTTACTTCTTTTAAATTTATGATATAATCTAAGTTATTGTATACTACTTAAATTCTGAATCTACAATAAATGTAGAAAATTATTATTAGTATAATTAATTATATTAAATACAAGTTTCTACTTTTTTTAATACTAAACATTGTTGACATTCAACACGACAACACCATATAAATTTACAATGACATGATTCCATGATATAATAATGATGTGTTATATAACCACGACCACAACATAAATGATGACAATTATTCATATAAATTGAAGATGAATTACATAAACGACCTTTTGTACCTAATATATGATAAAATGAATTTGAATGACAAAACAATTTCTCATTTATTAATTCATAATAAACTAATTGAGATAAATGTGGATGTATTGAATGATTCATTAATTCATTGGATTTAATTAACATGGATGAATGAATAGTTGGTGTTTTTGTTGGGTTTATAATAATCAAATTGGATTTTTTGGGAGGTTTCTTTACATTATTGACGTTTCTATCATAATAGTCATTGGATATAGATGATAATATTGGGGTTAATTGTTTTTTTATGTTTTTCTGATAAGGTATAAATTTGATAGCTTTATCTAAATATGAATGTTTAAAATGATTTGATGTAGAAGAAGAGGTCTCTTGTTTATCTTTGTAAGTATTACGGGTCGATCGCAGACTACTGGAATCTAAAAGTAAAATTTTGTAAGAAGTTGTTATAATAGATAGTTAGATTGGATATAAATATAAAATATATGAAAGTTTACTGATCTTCTACTTTTATTGCTAATGCATTTAGTAATAGTGTTGTGTGGGTTACTTATATCCACACAAGTAGTATATAATGATGGTTAGGTATAGAATGTATTTCAGTAGAAGGTCAATGAGGAAAGAACGGGAACGTAACGCAATTGGTGTGAAAACGCATGAAGAATAAAATCTGAGACAATGGAACAGGAACAGTCACGTTTGATATGATGGATTGATATTTTGCAAATTAACGACTTATGATATGGTTCTCAGATTTTATTGAGATGCTCTGTAATTTCATGATAAATACATTTGATTGTCCCCACTGGTGTCCTTGTCCACTACAGTAATGCTTTCAGAACAGATTGTTTAAGAATACTATACTATTATATTGTTGTAAAGTCACTTTGTTCAAATTAAATATTTCACAGACTAGAACATAGAGCTACATACATAAGGTGTGAGCTATGTTTATAACAACATCAGTCTTATCATGAAATCCCTAAGACTGTGCTTAACTTTAGCCGGATTTACTTTTAACGGGACATTATAAAAGCAAGCAGTCGGGGTAGCAATGAGATTCCCTGTATCCCCGATTGTAGCCAACCTGATTATGTCACATATATGATCATACATTTTCGCTATTGACATTAAACCACAAATTTGGTTCAGATATGTAGATGGTACTCTTGTAGTCATGAAAAAAGATTCACCTAACTTCTTTCTTCTGAACTAATCAAAACACTTTCATATCACATTAAGTTTACATACGAGAATGAAAATAAGGACGGCGAACTACCATTTTTTAGGCAGCTTTACTAAAAGAAATCTAGATGGAGTTCTAAATCTAACTATCTACCGAAAACTAACTCACTGAAATTGTCATATCGACTTCAATTCAGCACATTTATTTAGTGTAAAAATCTCTCTAGCCCTAAATCTATTTCAAAGAGCAAACAACATTATTACATCTGAAGAGAATAAACATAAAGAATGAAAGCACATGAGTAATATCTTCCAGTTTAAAATTTTTCCTATGATGATCATTAAATGATAATCCGAATGAAATATCATAGATTGGTACTATAGTCTTTCTACACTGCCATAGTACGACAGATGAACTTCAAGGAGTCTTAAAACAATAGAAAATTAAAAATAGACTACAAAACAACGAAATCCTTTCGAAACATTTTAGTTCCTTAAAGGAAAAAAATCTCCTTTATGTCAACACAGAATTGTGTCTGCAAATTAGGATGCATCGATTGTGAACAGTCATCTCGTGAAATATCGACTCGAACCAAAATGCACTTTAGGTACACAAAAAACCACCGAATATTCCCATAGAACTGAAAACACTCAAAATTGATTCGGTAATAATGGTCCATGTCATTTTCAATAACAAAAACTAGTAGATATTGAAAACATCAAAATAATACAAACAGGATTTTTCAACTACAAAGAAAGGTGAGTAACTGCAGCTTCCCACTCATTGTTTGACCCTACTACCCTCAATAGAAAGGAACACCTCACTATCCATCCATCCATCCGAGCTATTATGTTTGATTCTATTTACATCTCACACCATCACCAAACACAAAAATTTATCTTTATACCTTCTCACCACAAATGTTACACGTTTCATCCTTTAACATACATACATACATACACAAACACACACAAATATGTAAACATGTCTCACATAAATCACCTTGACCGGAATGACATGGAATTAACTTGGTCAGATCTGTTTCTTGGTTGATCTCATCTCCCTTGTACAATTTAAACTTGGGTTAATTTAATTTTTGTCAGAATGAGGGTTTGTGGAAATTGTACTAATTTAATGGTTGAATTCATGAGTCAATTTAGGCTAGAGCATTATAACGGCCGTTCAATGCTTCCACGTTTTCCAGTATGGTCTGGCTTAAATCAACTCATGAATTCAACCATTAATTTGATATGTTTATTTGTTCTCTGAAGAAGTGGCTTACATTGAGTCACGAAACATCAGAATATTTAAAAATTCCATTTTTCTACTTATTGTGATATTACAAATGTTTTATTTTTATTTGTTTATAACATTAATATATAGTTTAAATAGTAGATTACTTTGCTACAACTACTGTGGACAACTTCCAGTTGTTGTATATCAAGTTTAATAACCTAAAGTATTTATCTATTGATAGACCGGATTGGTTTGGACTGAAGATTATAGGACTGTCTCCAACACCCATAATGACAAATCTTCCATCTCTGTTAATATGTTTTCATGTGCTGAATGAACTATAGAAGACTTCTTTTTTAAATTTTTTGAACCAGAGCATTACAAACACAAAATGTCCTAATGTTTAAGTACTCGCCATTATACGTAGAAGTCATGAGCTCTGCCCCCTGAAGACATCGTAAATGTGCATTCCTAAATAGTTGCCGACTAAGACAAGACTAATATCTAATATCCTATAGTTCCCAATGGTACTTCGACTGAGGTTGGTCCGTGACGAATACCATCTACAAATTAAGTAGACTTCTATAATCGCTTCATAAAAACTGTGATGTCGCATTAGCCGAAATATTCGCATCAAAATATTAATTATGATTGTTTGAATTCTGAATAAACATATAACGATAAGTGTTGGGAACTTGACGATAATCTAACTAAGCTTAATTATCCAAAGCATTCCTATCACTAACAATTTTATTCATTGTCAATTAGTGCACCTGTTGTATCAGTAATGTAGAATTAAGGACAACTGAGAATAAAAAGTTTTTTCCAAACATCGTCCTGCCTGGCTGTCGAAAGAATTCATGAAGTTAGTTAGCAGTTCAATACTGACACATTTCGTAAATTATAGTCTCATAGCTCCATAAGAAACCGCTTTCAAAGTCATCCATGAAAATCAAATAATTTGGCTGTAAGACAATACAAAAATTAAAACTTATGTACAGAAAAAGCTTTAGAAATTCATTAATTCAAACCCATCTGTGTGTACAAAGATAACAGGTTCATTCACTCATATTCTATCATAGCTTTAACCCCCCCATTCTATATTCCATTCTTAATCTATCATCCGTACTACTTTTTTTTTCAAATTTTCCTTAATTACTGATAAATTATAATCAAAACGTCGAAGTATTTGATCATCCACATTCATCAAGTTGACAATTATCTTGCGACGACAAACTACCATCATAGCGACATGTTTCACTCTCTGATAGAGATTTTTGAAAAATTAATGAAACATAAATTCGTTAAATAAAGCGATACTTGTGTGTTTTATTGTGAACTAATATGAGCCAAAATTCATTATAAGTACTATTATACACTTCGCTAAATTTTCTCTAATTTTCTTCCATTTCATTCAATTACCATAGATGAATATGTATCTTGTAGTGTTGAAATAATTTTTTCTGGTTAGCGTTCTTTTTGACGAGTTAGTTTAGTTGGGGTTGCTAACCCCATGCCTAACCCCCCTTAATCGGGGTTTAGGACCGGCAGTAGCCCCTTAGGGGCTCCAGGTGGTGTTGAAATACCTTGAAGATTAAACAAATGGAAACATAAATTTGTCTTGAATATTTATAACAATCAGATATGTCTGTAATTGTAGTAATATGGAAGATTGGTCAGTATTTAGGTCAGAGAGTCAGTCTGATGATGCTTAGATTATTTATTCAGATCTTTTTATTAGTCAGATTTCCTTTTGGAAAACAATAACTAGTTTCCTATTCACGAAGTAATAAATGTTAATTTACATAAACAATAAATACCTATTATATCTCACCTAATTTAACTTGTACTAAATCATGATCATATATATGTTTTAACAAAGTTCCAAGTGTTCTCATTCGTGGTGTTCTTCGATAGCAGGTTCTTAAGGTACACGATCCACTTGTCCCATGGCATCGACAGTAACGTTCCATGTTTTTAATAACTAACTAAAAATAAAACAAAACTAAATTTAAGTTAAAACTGTGTAGGTATTTAGATAAATTTAAACAACTGGAAGGTGAAAAATGCTCAATAACAATAATACAAAAATATTTTTTTAAAAATGAATTGAAAGAACTACCTGATACTGATAGAGTTTATTAACATCATTTATTTTCACAGATTGAACTCATGAGTCAGTTGAAGCTAGACCACCATTGAAAACCTGGAAGCACTGGACGGCCGTTTCGTCCTAGTATGGGACTCCTCAGCAGTGCGCATCCACGACCCCGCACCACCCGGGGCTCGAACCCAGGACCTACTGGCTTCGCGCGCGAGCACTTAACCATTAGACCACTGAGCCGGCATCCAACGGTGTTAATGTCTAACTTCAACCAATCCACGAAATTCAGTGACATATCCACCATTGTCTTCAGTGAGTTCCTATCTCACAACAGACCTGGTTGAACTCCACTGGTAACGACTTCTCATTTATTTTATTTCTGACTTCTTATCTGAACTTTACTGAGTACTGACATTATGAATCCCGTAACCTAGTTTCAATATAAAGGTTAACCCTGGGATCCAGGTATATTTAACTGACTTGTCCTAAAGAGGGTAAAACCTACTGTTATGACCTTGAATCGCTTTTACCCCGTTATACTTGTTATGACTTGGCCTTGGTCTGTCTGGTCTAAACTATGACCTTGACGCGTTAGGCTGAGTGGCTTAACCTTGAGTCTAATACGCGTGAGTTCGATTGGGGTAGAGAGAACTATTCTAAATCCTGATTGGTTGGCAAGCACACAAGTGAAAGAAGACAAGACAGTTGGAACACTAAACTCTGGATTCTCTGAATTCGGATTAGTACAAAAATGTACATGAATAAATAAGTGCATATCTTGACCACGACGTAGGATAATTTGGAAAAATACAGTTATGCCCGAAACAGGGAATTAGGGTAGAAATTATAGTGCAAAATATAATGTTTAAATTACAATATTTTTGGAACAAAAAAGGGTATGCTAGTGAATGATACATAGAACGAAAGCTCGTGTTATGTAGAATAAGATAGGGACAAAAATAAATATAAGTGTTTTACAGGTTTTGAATGAAATGCAATAACGTCCCAAGAAAATAGCTTTCGTAATTGTCTGGGCTTCTTAATTCCCCGTTCATAACACCTACATTCTAGATTTTACTACTAACCACAATCTATCTGTTTGAAAGAACATTCAGTTAATGTTAGCAAACTTTGTTCTATGTGAAATCCACTTAGTATTGCTTGGTTGCATTTTCCCATTGGTGTTAAGAACTAAAATTGGCCAGTCTCTTGTTGGCATATGTACATAATATGCGTATTGCCTTAAGTCACAAGCTTCATGAGCAATGATAGATGGTGACTAGCAGTGGAACCCAGTTTGACGCGCGTTTTGTCTTACTCGGGACTTGTCAGCTGGATGTACCTGGATCCCAGAGTTGGTGTTCGATTCGGGACTGGAACCCAGTACCGTTAGCTTAAAACTACCGTCTATCTTTGCTTATCGAGTTTATGAATTAAGGCAAGGTCGAGGAAATATGCACAGTATGAACATATGCCAATAAGAGGCTGAACAATTTCAGTCTTAAACATCAATGTGAAAATACAAGCAAACAATACCAAGTGAGTTTAAACTTCACCCGATTACACAAGCTAGTGGCCATCAGGACTCAGAAATTAAGTGGATAACTCGGTGGCGTTTGAAGTGAGCGGTATTGGGTACGAGTCTCTAAGTGAACGTCACCTCAGAGATGCAAGTACACCCAGTCCCGACTAGGACGAAACACGCATCCTGGATTCCACTGCTAGCCACCATTCATCATTGTTCTATGCGGTTAAAATTCTATGATTTGTTAACTTTTTGGTGGGAGAGTTTGTATTTATAAAAGAAAATAGTTTTGTACCATTAAGTTAACGCATTTCCGTGTTATTTCAGAGGTAAGATTTGAAATTTCATAGTTTGCATGTCTCTGTTATTCAAACCAAATCGCATCAACATCAAATGCAAAGTTCAATAGATCTATCTGGATACTCTTGTTTTCGTTAGCTTTTCATAGAAAGTATAGAGAAATAGCTCTTTAAAAATATCACAGTATAATGAGGTTATATACATGCATTAGTGATTCATCACAACATTGAAAACTTCAAACAATAGAATGAATTTAATAGTTGAAATCATGAGTTAATTAAAGCTAAACCACCATGGAAAACCTGGAAGCACTGGACGGCCATTTTGACCTAGTATGGGACTCCTTAGCAGTGCGCATCCAAGATCCACAATTAATTTTGGAATACATGTGGTTTATGTACCCACTAGGTTAAACTATTAAGTCAAGTATCTTTACTAAGATTCGTTTAGTTAGTTAAGTTGTCTGATCAAACGATCAGAATCACCTTATAGAGTGTCTTGGTAAATCCTTAAATTATTGCGTAGTGTTGCTTCCTTTCAGTGGCTAAAGAAGCCACTGATATACTAAATGTCTATAAAACAATAAATTAGTCTCATAAATAATATTATTCTGCATATATATTGTGAAAAAATAGGTGGCAAACATGACAATTCAGTAATATATAACTTAATTTTGAAACTTACTTGTCGACCGACACCATTATTATGTAAATTCATTTCAAATCTTATATGTGAACCACGTTCCATTGTATCGAGTAAACGTCGTGAAAATCTTCTACCATAATGAATATTATGATCACATCCTTGCCATTGCCAATCTGAAAATGGTTCTTGTCTACCTCGATTATTACATGGACAATTATCGATTTGATTTAAACATGCTTCAGCTACAGATTGAACTATTCCAGCATTGATAATTGAATAAATAAATGCAGTTTGTGGTATACCTTAAGATAAAATTTGATAGTGTTGTACTGTATATGTGGATTAATTCACTCCAAACTTCAGTTAATTACTATGATTTCTTTCAGTCATTTAAGAAATAGGTTTCTGTAAATTTTACTAAACACAAAACTAGCTGAAATAAATTATCAGAAGGGGGTTTATTGGAGATTGTAGTAATTTAATAGTTGAATTTACAAGTTAATTAAAGCTAAACCACCATGGAAAACCAAGAAGCACTGGATGACCTTTTCTGTTAATAATCATCATGTGCTAACTAGTAACTGGTTTCAAGAGTTCTAGTTAGTAACCGTGACACGTGGAGTTCAACCGGGTCTGCTGTGAGATAGTAACTCACTAAAGACAATGGTGGATATGTCACTGAATTTCGTGGATTGGTTGAAGTTAGAGATTAACACCACTAGATGCCGGCTCAATATTCTGTGGGTTAACCGTTCGCATGCGAGATCGGAGCTCCCGGGTTTGAATCCCACGGGTGGGATCGTGGATGCGCACTGCTGAGGAGTCCCATACTAGGATGAAACGGCCGTCCAATGCTTCAAGGTTTTCAATAGTGGTTTAGCATTTATCGATTAATGATATCAATTAGAACTCAACAATCTCCTCAACCCCATTCTGAGGATCACAGTATTCATGCCATCCTAAATAAAGTATCATCACAATAGGATAACAACCAATATCGTAAAACATTCTGTATATAAGTGTATGATGTCATTATATAAAATCGTTTGTATTTTTTAACGATAGACTATTCTATCCTCTGACATCACTTTATAGTAAAAATTGATGCATGAATAGGATTTCTAAGCAATCATTACTCAAGCCAAGAGACTGAAATACTAATCAGCATCACTCAAACGTAATTCCTTCCATTTTAATATATAAACATGCTATAACACTGCATGATTTGATCAATAGATTTTAACCACCGGTGAAAACCATAAAATACGATTGATTGATGTCTAATGATGAATTTAAGTGTATAAAATTCAGTCTTACTGATAAGTGGTTATAGTTTGACTAACTTAGTGATGACACTATTCATTTGCTGATGTGCTAGATAACGTAGATCAAAATCCTTCAGACTACGAAACTAAAGTGTCAAGGAAACCAAGATTTGAGTAGAGAAACATTTCTAAAGTGTAAATTGTTGGGGTTTGCTGGCATTCATTAGCTAATGGTCTTAGCGATTTTTAACAAACTCTTATCACCCAATGCTACAATCACAGACATTACCATTTAGCCGAATACTGTTAAATGAAGTGCTTGATTGTTTTAAACTCGAATTCTAATATATTTCCAGTTCCATATGATTTTCAGTTGATTAAATGCGAAATCCTACATTTTACTGATATGATAATTTTGTCGATTAAGAGGCTTTCTAAAGATCCTACTGATTGATTTTAAATCTATTCGGATGAAATGTAATTTTGTTTCTAAGATGCAATAATCCCTCACAATCTGATAAACCAAAGATATTTCATTGTTTTATTGAAATCATGAGTCAATTAAAGCTAGACCACCATGGAAAACAGGGAAGCATTGGATGGCCATTTCGTCCTAGTATGGGACTCCTCAGCAGTGCGCATCCATGATCCCATCCGTAGGATTCGAACCCAGGAGCTTCGATCTCGCATGCCAACGGTTAACCCACAGACCAGTGAGCAAGCATCTATTTGTGTTAATGTCTAACTTCAACCAATCCACGAAATTCAGTGACATATCCACCATTGTCTTTAGTGAGTTACTATCTCACAACAGACCCGGTAGTTTAGAAATTATAAAACAATGAACCATTACTCACTGATAATCTGTTACCTATTAAACTATCTAAGTAGTCTGTCTAGTTAATAATAGCTTTCACTTACAAACATATAGATATTATCAATCTTATTTATTCCAGAATACTTCTAGTCGATGACAGTTAGACTTTTCAATTTCTCTTTGTTATGTGCATGCAACTTTTATATTTTCCTGAGGTTAAGATCTTCAACCACCTTATCGATAGTATTCTAAGTTTTGTCGTATTCTAACAGTTTTTAGACTCCTCACTAAATAGTTTAACTTATTCCAAAGAGCTATTTCCTTTAGAAAGTTATCCCTATATATATCTTCCACGATTTTGTGTTTTCTGAGTTTTCTCAAAGTTTTAATTAATATTTAATCATGAATCGTTTCTCCATGTATTTATTATTCTCCATCGTGATCTATAACGAAAACAATATCAACTCCAATCCATTTTCATAGGATTCATATGTTTAAATAATCATCTGTTTCTAATTGACGTTATTGCTACAGGGATAGTTATGTCCATAAACTAGGAAACAATCTTAATATTTAAGATGTTACTGAACAAATTGCATATAAATCAAATGTATTGTTAGAAAAGTATTAAATATGTACTGTATTATCAGACTATGTAAGTTCAATAATTCAGTGGTCTAGAGATTAATCGTTCGCGCGTAACCTAAGGTCCTAGGTTCGAGTCCCACGTTCAGGATCGTGGATATGCACTGTTGAAAAATCCTATACTAGGATGAAACAATCGTCCAGTAATTTCAGGTTTTTGATGGTGGTCTGAATTAGATCAACTTATGATTTCAACTATAATAATACTACAATCTCCGCAAATCCCTATACTGATAATAATTTATCTAGGTAAAACATTAACAGCTACGTTCAAAATATTGAAATTCTTTGTCATTTAAGATAATAGCAGTAATGAAAATATTATGAATTGTGAATTTAGTTTTCATCATTAATTGGTGAAAATTGAGTAATAACTAAGAATCAGAGAAAACAGAACATCACAATTGATTGATCACTGGTTGGTGATCAATGTCATGCGTGTCAAGTCCCCATTTAGTGCAGATCGAATGCTATCGACCATGCAGCAATGTGGCCACCAGTCTAGGGGACTCGACACTGCGTGCACTATATTATTGAGATTAGATGGTGGTTGGAGGTAGTCGACAGGAAACCATGGACCTGGGTTTCGTGCTACTTGGCACTCGTCAGCAAGATGTACCTGTAATCTTGAGGGAACTGGTGCTCCCTGGCGGATTCGATCCTGTGTCACACGACTTCACAGTCAGAGACGTTACCACTGAGCGATCCGGGCCGCGACTGACCTTGCTGACGAGTTCCAAGTAGCACAAAACCCGGGTCCAGGGTTTACTGTCGACTACTCTAACCACCATCATATCTCAAAACAGAACCTCACTCACTGCCTACTTAGTTATTTATCATTGAGACAACAGATGGAGAATATTCTTTCCTCTGGTGAAACAATTACAGAACTGATTCAGAGTAACAGTAATGAGTTTATACAGGTTATAATTCATAGAAATGTTTCATAAATAGTAACTTAATTATATAACATCTTGTATATATCAAATTCAAATTCGAAAAATTCTATTTTTACCTTTCAGTAAAATGTTTCCAAATAAAGCAGTTTCATCATCAAGCACTTGACTACAATTCCATCTTTCATGCCGAAACTGATAACGACATTCAGCTACTGCACGTCTTACACCAACCACTGCAGCTTCAAATAAAGCAAGATTAAATTTAGCCGGTGCATTCATTCGACTGCCAATAGTTGTAGAATCATCTGTTAAAAATTGTTTCCATTGTTTTGGTGATAACCATTGTTTGTAACGTTGTATACGTTGTCTGAGATGATGTTCTATCCATGCTGTATTATGTGAGATAGGCTATAGATAAAATGAGAAAAAGGCAGATTTATAAAATTGTTAGGAAGATATTATCAACATTGGTTTGTTCACAGTTACATCAAGCTCACATATTACATAATAATTACAGTGGTCCATTTATATTCTTTAGTTTGTTAGATTCAAGAACTTGATTAATATGAAAACGTTTTAAATCAAATCAACAAAAATCTAGAACTGGTGTGAATTTTCTCTGTAGTTTTCAATTTATCTGTTCACCATTTATCAGTAAATTGATTGGAGATTAACAAATATTTAATAATTTAATAGTTGAGATCATGGGTCAATTGAAGCTAAACTATCATGGAATACCTGAAAGCACTCGACGGCTATTTCGTCCTATTGTGAGAATCTTCAGTAGTGTGAGTTCACAACCCCGCCCCGCGAGATTCCAACCCAGGAACTATCGGTTTCGTGCGCGAACGCTTAACCTTTAGACCACTGAGCTGGCCGGCATCCAGCACTGTTAATGTCTAACTTCAACCATTCAACAAAATTGAGCGACAAGTCCACCACTGTCTTCAGTGAGTTACTATCTCACAACAATATTTAATACATTGTTAGTGTACATGATCCCAATATACAAAGATTCCATGTAAGGCATAGTTTAATGTAAACATTCAGACTCACCACTCAGTCACTACCATCCATTAGTTTTGATCAAGACTCTAGGACGAAGTTGTACGACGCGATCATTAATCCATCACTATTGGATGTCCTAGTTTCAAGGAGTTATTCATAACAATTAGGCAAAATGAGTCAACTTCACTTGGAGTTTTTTTTCAATTTTTAGGCCCGTATTTATATTTTATAAATAAATCCCATCTAAATTCTGGCGAAAACTCATTTCCTACTTATTTCAAACTAACAGTGTTTAATTTGACAAGTTCAAAACTAATCCCAACCAAGCATTTGAAATGAAACATTTAAATAAGTTTACTTTCGAAACACATCAGTTCACACTTAAACTAAATTTTTCATGGTATTTATAGTAGTTAATTAAGAGAAAGAATTTTAACCTCGAAAGTTTACTTTGATCGTAGTGCATGGGTATAAATATTATACTAAATGTTCGCCGTTTTATTTGAAATATCACGTCATAAAAGACAATTGAAAATAGAACAAACTTACATCGAAAATCTGTCGTCTCCACCCATAAACTGATGGATGGTTTTGATTATTATTATCATTATTATTACTAGAACCAGAATGACTTTCATGGTTCACATACGGAACAATTTGTCTTTCATTCTGATAATTTAATCCTGGTACATTATTCCATGGTATCATAGTTTCTGCATTCATTTCAATAGATGGTGATTGGTTGTTTTCAGCATAAATTTCAATGATTGGATTATATAAACTCCGTGAATTACCAGACAAAGTTAATGGATGTGAATGTAGAAGTTTAGCTATTGTATCTAACCTACGGATAGATAACAAAATGTTTTTATAATATTTGTACTACTTACAAGTAGTTAAACATTTTCGTACAAATAAATACGCTGGTCATTGGTTATTTGTCATTCTATTAAAAATTTTATTTACTTATTTCAAACGATAATCTATGACTCTATCGACATACTTTTTCACATCTATGGTACCTTCTAGAGAGTACTTTGAAAATAAACCGTTTTGAGGTGTGTTAAAAACAGCCTTAAAATTTCTTTGAAAATAGTCAAGTACTAATTAAAATGTAATCTGTCTACGTAAATTATGATCTATACTAAATAAGCATAATGTTTTGTATCCACAGTCACTAGATTGCATCAAACACGCAGGTAATGAATTCTCATAGTTGAATAGTTTATTGGTGTAGATGGCTCACGGAAAATCTGTGACCATGTTTAGTATATATATATATATATATATATATATATATATATATATATATATAAACTGAACTTAGCCATAGCCTAGAGGACGGACATTCTACAACCGTGTCATTATTCGATCACATTTATAACTCTATAATCAATTCAATCTATTCACAGAAGATTTAAAACAAGATTACAATACATAACATTAAACTACATTTCTCATGATTAAATTGTTTTTACAACAGATTTCAGATAAAATGTGAATATTTCCCAATGATATTATGTTATTTATCTAATATACTGTCATCTCTCTCTCTCTCTTTAGTTAAATGTAATACATACATCATATTGGATGATGCATATCTAGTTGTTTCTATCTAATAAGTTACATTAAATATAAGAAAAAATATACATATTTACAGGAAACAAAGCTAAGAAATTAATTCCCTAATGAAGTAAATTTCAGAATAAATGAAGAGTATAGATAGATAATATAGAGATGTATATAATATTCATCTGTTCATCTGTTTATAATATTTCTCTATACACTATATGATTATTCCAGCATAAATATACATAAAAATATTATTCTCTCAGTATACAATAATATACACATTCTCTGCCCCCCCCCTATGAAATAAGATAGAGACAAGTAAACAAAATATGAAACAGTCAAATTAGTTGTCCAGTCAGAGCCTGTCAAACTTGTCAAATTGATTTATTAGTTCATCATCTACTGTCAAATATCTCAACAAGAGGAAAGGGGCATAAAACATATTTTTATTCACTGGAAAATATTGTAATCTTTTTCTTAATATTACCAATACTACTATTATTATTATTATTACTATTATAAGGTGCATTGTATAAATAAGGCAGAGATATTCCAGAATCCTTATACTAATTTCATCGACTTATTTCATGTTTATTTTGATTCGAATTTTCTTTTCTTTTCTTTTTTTTTCGTTTTTTTTCATGGTAAAATGGTGAATTTTCTTACTGTTAGTATAATCTAGTGTCAATGCTTGTTTATTTGTCTGTTATAGTTCAATCATATTCTTTATTGTAGCATTGTTGGTGTCACTATTGAATTGTTCTTTCTCACTTTTTTCTTTCCCATTTTTCTTTCTCTTTTTTTCTTCTTCTTTTCTAGCAAGTAAATAACAGTGTTGATTTCTAATTATTTCCATCAGAATTATGCATAAAAGTTTATTGATCATTTGAGAATTAATCTTATGTACTTAATAATTATGGGCAGCATTATTGATGAACAGGGTGGATCTGATGCAGATGTGAAGGCGCGGATCGGCAAAGCAAGAGCAGCATATTTACAACTGAGGAACATCTGGAACTCAAAGCAACTGTCAACCAACACCAAGGTCAAGATTTTCAAAACAAATGTCAAGACAGTTCTACTGTATGGAGTGGAAACTTGGAGAACTACGAAAGCCATCATCCAGAAGATACAAGTGTTTATTAACAGTTGTTTACGCAAAATATTTCGGATCCGTTGATCAGATACCATCAGCAACAACCTACCGTGGGAGAGAACAAATCAAATCACAGCGGAAGAAAAAATCAGGAAGATGCACTGGAAATGGATAGGACACACATTACGGAAAGCACCTAACTGCGTCACAAGACAAGCCCTCACATGGAATCCTCAAGGCCAAAGGAAAAGAGGAAGACCGAAGAACACATTACGCCAGGGAATGGAAATAGACATGAGAAGAATGAACAAGAATTGATTGAGATCATGAACCGATTGATGTTAGACTTGATGTTAGAATTGGATGGAACTAGAAAAGGAGGCCCAGGATAGAGTTGGTTGGAGAATCCTGGTCTGCGGCTTATGCTCCATTAGGATTAACAGGCGTAAGTAAGTAAGTAAGTAACTTAATAATTAGGGTATGTGTATGTTCATATTTGTGTGTGTGCACAACTGGCTAGAGTAATCGATTGTTTAGGACAATAAATGAATATGGATTTGGGAAAAGTGATAAATCTGATGCTGCTTACTTCATTTTATTAGTAAACTTCAATTAACGTTTGAACCAGTAAAAAGCATTGTTTTTGATTGAAAGCATGAATTGATTGATGTTAGATCACCATTGAAAACTGTAAGCACTGGACGGTCGTATCGTTCTATTGTGGTTCAAATCTCGTGGGCGGGATAGTGGATGCTCATTGCTGAGGAGTTTCATATTAAGATGAAACGGCCGTTCAGTGATTCAAGGTTTTCAATAATGATCTAACAACATTCGATTCATGATCTCAGTCAAAAACTTTATGATCTCCATAACCCCATACTGTAAACAGTTTTGTATTATACTTCTGTTACAATGATTTTGAATACTTTGAATAATTCACACACATAACTTATTCTGAAGTAATTAAGAACTGATATAGCCTCAAGCAATATGTGATACATTGATAACTTAATTAACAGTTGAACTAGCCAAATATATTTCCGTAAAAATCTTTCGTTGAAGTGTTTCCGTTATATGTGTTCTTAGCTGACTGATTATATTGGTTATGTTAATTAGTTTAAAAATATGAAAAGAAGGATAGTTAATTAGTTTCTTGAAGAGAGCAAGAAATAAGATCCAAAGACCATCAAACAGCATTACGAAATATTAAATGAAGTGATGATATAATGGTCAGATATAGGTTCAAGTGTTGTTCTAATGAACACAACAGATTATGTCTCTAAGATTAAGTTCATTTTAAGTGACCATATGAGATGCAATTTAGATAAAAGTAATAAGGACTTAACTGATTCAACTGATAAAAGAATCACCAAAGTACTCAGAGATCTCCTGAAGAACATGATGATACTGATCGATAATTCTCTGCACTAATCTTCATTCTTGCTCTCTTTAAGATAACAAAGGTAACTATGTGTATGTGATTAGTTTCTGATGGTCAACAAATGAAAATATATTTAGTTCAATTAAAATAAAACCATATTTTTAATGATATACTGATGTACTTTAACAAGGGAACATTTATATGAATTATATACCTTGTTCATATTTGACAATAATGATTCATTGAATGAATAGGACTGAGGAATAGATTTAAGATTTTCATCAATAAACTAATTTACTGGTTACTGATGATACGCTCTTTGATAAATCGGTGACCTTTGATCCAGAGTTAATATTATATGAATGAAATGCCATGTTCAATTATAAAGTATGATTTTCATGCAATATAACTCCAAGACCTATCGAAAACTCAACAAACTCTTCTCACCTTCATTCATTTCATAATAATTTCAGAATTATTCCATAGTTGATATTTTTGACTAAATTTTGGTCAATCTTAATTGGTATATATGTATCCTATACGAATCGCCTCGATATAGCTATTATATCACAAGTTTTTATAGGATAGATAGAATATGACTAGTAATGGAAAGTTTGCTCATGAAATCAGTCCTTTACTTCTAATCTATTAAACTTTGTAATAGTAAATCATTAGGCTGATAATTTGTTAGATAATCACTTACTGATCAACAATAAAAACGATTATAAAATGATCAAGAAAGTTCCACTCTCTTCATGTTATACATGCACAAACATAGCATGTAGGAAAAAGAAAAATATGTTAATTACAATCTAAACGTGAATTTAGTATGTAGAGTAGAAGAGATTAAAAACTAATCACAAAATAGTTCATTTTTGTATTGTTTGTTTCAATTTTCCCATTGAAGTTTAGGACTGTAATTGATCGGTCTCTTATTGGCATATGTGCATCTTAAGCGAATTACCTTGATAACGTCTTAAGTTACAAGCACTATGAACAAACACTATGGATAGTGGTTAGCATTGGAATCCAGAATATGCATTTCATCCTGTTTACGACTTATCATCTGGATGTACCTGCATTCCTGAGTTGATGTTCACTCCGAGACTCGTATCGATTACCGTTCTCCTCAAACGCAATCGCGTTATCTATTTAGTTACTGAGTTCTGATAGTCACTTGCTTGTGTAATGGAGTGAAGTTTTAATTCATTTTTGGATTGTTTGCTTAGATCTGTTCATAAACTTAGTAGCTAGTGGAAAATGTGACAGTGTTTGAAGCAAACGGTACTGAGTTCAAGCCCCACAATGAACAACAACTCAGAAACAAGTATATCCACTTAAAGTCAACTAAATGAATTCAGCTAATGAAACATTATGAATAAGTTATAAAATACAATTCATAAGTTAAACTGAAGTAAAATAAGTAAAGAGTGGTAATTGTAGGCGGAATCATGAAAATAGGAAAGCATTATATAGAAACAAACTGGAATATGTCCCATACTATGAAAATGTTCAAGTTATCCTGATAATGTTCAAGTTTTCCCTTGAAAACAAAGAAAAACAAAAACAAATTTTTTTAGCTAACTGAAATTTTATTTGGCTAGAAAACAACATAAAATCAACAACTGTTTTCATATTAGGGTTATTTGTTACTTTGAAAAGTGTTATTATGAATAGCAGTAAATAATGATCATGACCATTTCACTATAGCCCCGATTGTTAACTGAGAGGTAAACAAATTTTCCTATTCTAATAAACTATCGTTCTATGAATCTGGTTTGTAAATATGGATAGTAATGACAATTAGATATCAATATAATGAACTGGGGTGTAAAGTGATTAGAGATTATTTCTG